ACAGAGGGATTATTTTCTTAAGTTGTTCTGGCAGATGCTCTGTCCCAGCAGTCTCTTGGGATACTTATTTAGGCAGCTTCTAATATGGCTTTGGTAATTTATTCGCCGACTTTTTCAGTAGTATTGTTTTAGGTGATGGTACTCACAGGACAGGTGTAAGTATATCTGTAGTAAATCTGAAGAGAGGAGGGTTAATTTCAGTCTGCTGCATGTGTTATGAGCTCTGTGGAGAAGAGTGGATGTCAACTGTTTGTTCTTTATAGTGAGTAGATTTGAAGAGTTACAGAGCTCTTCTATTGCCTTGTCAGTGTTGTTGTAAATTGTCCGCATTGAGGGAGTGGCTGTTTAAATCACCGGCTATCACAGTCTTGATGTATTGGGTGCTCTCTAGGTGGGCAAAGTTGCATTTTTTTGTTGGGTTGGGGGGGGGGGGGATATTTGTTGTATGTGTTAAAAACTATATATTCTTTACCATTTTACCATACCGTAGTAGTAGATCTTAAACCAACCCCCCAAAGGGCACCACCTCTGGGGGCAGCGGCTCCTCTTCCCCCCCCCCCCGCGTGCAGCCCCCTCTACAGTTTTTTTTCTTGGCAGGTCTGATAGTGTGGTGCTCTGTTTGGCCACCTTGGGGCTGTTAGTGAAGACAAGAGTATACTGTCTTGGTTTTATTTACTTTCAGTTTCCACTTTTCACAGTATGCACATGGCCTAATCATGTCTTCGTTAAGTCATCTAGCACTTATACATGTGTGTCTGAAAGTATGCCTTGTCACAAGGTCATATGCTTAAATTGCCTTCTCCACCTGTACCTTATCTGGTAGGTCATAATGAACATTAAGAAAAGGATACAACGCAGTAATGAACCTTGTGGAAGCCCTTCTTCCAGGACACATTTTGATGACGTGGCATTATTTATTTTTGTTTGGATAGGAAGAAAATATTTTAACCGTTTGCACAGCTTGCCATGAATGCCTTCACTGTTAAACTTCAGCTTGCCATGAATGCCTTCACTGTTAAACTTCAGCTTGCCATGAATGCCTTCACTGTTAAACTTCAGCTTGCCATGAATGCCTTCACTGTTANGCATTGAGGGAGTGGCTGTTTAAATCACCGGCTATCACAGTCTTGATGTATTGGGTGCTCTCTAGGTGGGCAAAGTTGCATTTTTTTGTTGGGTTGGGGGGGGGGGGATATTTGTTGTATGTGTTAAAAACTATATATTCTTTACCATATTACCATACCGTAGTAGCTTCTTGGATGTCTGTGATCTGATCTGTGGCGATAGTCTCAACCTTGCCTTCTATGTCATTTATTATGTTGGTGATGATCCCCCTATAATCATGTCACTTGGCAAGTGTAATGAGCATACCCTGTGATGTGTGGGTCGTTGTTGTGGTTTAAAGCTTTGTGTAGTTGTACTATGTGTACTTGTTTCATGTGCATGAGGTGGGAGATCTCTTCCTTTTAGTTTGTCATCACGCAGGCGTTAACTTGCGGGATATTTAAATAACTGAAAATTTGGCATTCATTGAAGAGAATGTTACTAAGTACTGGTATATTACTGAGTATATTACTAAGTATGTTACCTACAGGTATTTATTAATCCATGTTTAACTCCAGCATGCTGAGAATGAAAAGAAACTGCAACAGCTGCACAATAAAATTGAAACTGAGATTGCCAATCTTAAGACAATTTATGAAGTCTACCGCAATGATGTGTTTAAGTACGCTGGAGGTGAGAATTCATAAATCTGATTTAAGTATATTATTTGTTTTGTTTTGTGAAAAAAAAATATTTTACTGCAAAACTTTCAGCAATCAAATTTTAAAGATCACAATTTGTTTTTATTATTTATATTATCTGTTATAAAGCTTTTGCATTCAGAGCAGTCTTGGCTTAATAATTGTATTATAATCTTCAAACTGAGCATCGATGTCTTTTTTTCCAAACGTCAATTCAGGCACTGTCATAGCTGTTGGAGGTCTTGTGCTTGGGATATTGCGTCTCTGGCAGTAAAGTTTCCTGGTCATTTGTCACTCCACAGAATCGCAACAGTTCATCTGTGATTTTTTTTTTAATACAACTGTATACCTTTTACATCTTGTAACATAGATCACATCTTTATTTATTAAAGGACACAAAATGTACATCTCACCATATATATATTAAAATGTAAGAATGAAATCAGAAATAAAGATAGCCTACGCTTTAGGCCTATTAAAAAAGTTAAGTACTAAACATTTTACAGTTTCTAAAATAAATTAAAAAATCTATGAGGTCTTATTTCAGAATCAATGATAATTTAAAAAGAATTTTTTTGGGTCTCTTAAATCAACTCAATAAATTACTATTTTAATAGCTCCTACACCTATATGGTCTCTCTCAATAAATTTAGTTTTTTAAAATAAATAAGTTTTGGAGCTGTATTGTACAATAAAAGGCTCTGTTGGGCCCAGACAGAAATTATTTACTTTCATGAATGTCTTATATCTATGGTGATACAAAGAGTCTTAATGACACCAACCAGGCTGGAATGAGGCTTATTTTGTTTGAGTACAAAATTATCTGATACATTCTTTTCTTCATATTGCAAAAATGGCAGGTACGGTAATTGCGGTTGCTACGCTAATGCTAGGTGTTATCAGACTTTGGTTTTAAAAGCAGAAGTTCAAGATTTATGTAAGTCAGTTTCATGCAGTTGCCACTTTATATTTTTTTGCTCTGGTTTTACTGTTAGATTTTGTTGTTGTTCTGAACAGATTCACTACATTTATGTTTTCTTGGGTTTTATAAATAAATGTTAGCAAAAAACTTAGAGGGAAATAAGCTTAATAAATATTTCATTTAATAGAGTTTATAAATCTTATTTTTAGCTATTACAATGTCTTCATTGTGACCTGGATCTAGAATTCAACAGTTTCTGATAAGAGATTTTGAAAAATAATACTCTTTAAACTAAAAAAAAAATTTCAAGTAGTACTCTTTCACTTCTCACATGCAAAGATATAACAAAAATAATCTAAATTTGTTTTATTACTCAAGTTTTATACTTTTATTGTCACAATACAAACACTTTCATTTATTAAAAACAAAGCAAAAACTTTCTTAACAGAATTAATCTTGGCAAGGGCATTTAAAAATAAAAAGTGACAATTAAAAAAATTGGATGTTTGTTCTTTACTTCACTTTTTTGTGCATTTACATTTCAGCAATTGATTTATCTTGTGATGAGCTGTGATAAGTCCTGTACTGTAATTGCCTGTAATAGTTACTGCTTACTACTTTTATTGTGGGATTATTTATACAAATGGTGCATTAACATTTTTTTTTTTTATCGGTAAAAGAATAAGAAAATTGTAAAAAAAAAACTAGATGCCTTAGTTTAAAGCAGTGGTTCTTAACCTTTTTGGAGGTACCGAACCCCACCAGTTTCATATGCGCATTCACCAAACCCTTCTTAATAGAAAAATAAAATATGATTTTTTTTTGGACCTGCGCCGAACCCCTTAGACCGACTCACCGAACCCCTGGGGGTTCGATCGAACCCAGGTTAAGAACTACTGGTTTAAAGTCAGTGGATTGACCTGAAGTATGTGATAATTTTTTTATATAATCATTTCCACCTTTTGACAGGCAGTAATGTATTGATCTCATCTATTTGTAGTGTTAATCTGAAGAGATTATGATTTTAAGGCATTAAGAGAGGTCTGGATAGAAATATGATTTTAATGAACGAACGAAAAGAAAGAGCACCAGTAAATGGAAGTAACTTTGTGTTTTTAATGATATTTGTGTATTTTTTTAAGTAACTGATGTCATTAGAAAGAATAAGATCTCATTCCCTTTTAAAAGATGTGTTTAGACTTTGAAATTGTTTAGCTTATTTAAAGAAAGAGAAAATAAATTGATAAGAAGCTAAAGATAGATTTTTCTACCAATTTTTTTAAGGATTACTTTAAATGTATCTAAGGTTTTTAGTGTAATTTTGCAACTTCTGGTACTTTAATGTGAATCACAGATTGCATTTTCTCATTTAGACATAACTTGCAACTAAAACAAAACTAAATGCCCTTATTGCAGCAATACATTAAAGTCTTCTGTTTATTCATTACTTTAATGTAATTTATTTACAAAAAGCTACCTTCGAGTTTTTAGATCCTTTCATTTTTGTTCTCTAAGATGTGGTAAATTTAATAGAAAACCAAACCGAAGATACCTAATATTTTTCTTAAAGAAAGGAAAAATTAAAAGTTCATATTCCATGAATTGATCCACATTTTGAGTTTCGCCTAAAAGGATTCGGCTTATTGAAGGTTTTGCTTTTCATTTCGTGATCTTTAAAAATGTCCTGAACTTAATTTATTTACATGTATAATTTTAGTCCAGGTAATTTAGTCAAATCAACTGCACTCCCAGAGCGGCTAGTCCTCTTTATGGCCCCAGCCAGTCTAATAACAACCTGCCTCATTAGCCGGGTGCACTCATAAACTAAATCTCCCCTGGGAACAGTGGAGGTAGGTTGGGTCTTTCTAGGATAAGTAGCTACAAGTTTTACAATAAATGGTAAGAACATTCAGTGTTACTCTGGTAAAATATGTCTAGCGGTGCTTTTATTTATTGCTGTAATCGAAGACACCCCCTATTCATTACTGATTACTGCACAATCAGTGTTTTGGGACCATCATTATTTAGTAGTATAAATTGAAGTTCTTGCTGCCTGTACCACTGTTACAAAGGATGTAAACATTGTTTCTTTCTTCATTTGACAGTGATTGATATCATAAACTGTCCATACCATTAACAGAAACCTATGACCCAGCACCACCCTCTTGAAGTGAAAAAACTACAAACTACTAAATGGATAGTTGCACGGAAACTGTAAAAGTAAAAATTAGGAACAACTGTTCTGCTTTTCTTGTAATTTCTGTGTAAACTTTAATTTGCCTAACATACTCAACTTTCATGCAAATAAAGAAATAAATTTGACTACCAGTATGTATAATTGTATTCTTTTTTTATTTAGTGTGCATGTTATTGTAAACAGTGCTTACATATTATCTACATAAATGCATAAAAAAATAAGACAGAATATGTGGAACAAATTCCCTTTTAGTTTTATAAAAACAAATTCAGATCTGTGGCCACTAAAAAATCTGTTTAAAAGTTAATGTGCATAGGGAATTTTGAAAATAGCTTTTATTTAAGGATACATGTGGTAAATATCCTTAGTTGTAACACAATGGTAATGTCTATCTCCAACCATTTAACTGGCCCTGAACCATGGTTATAGCTTTTTGGCCTCCACCCAAATGGCTCAACACCCTTGTTTCCCATCATTAACTCTTAAAATACATTGCAATTATTTTCCTTAGTTGTAACAGTGGAAAAGATCTTTCAACATGCTGATTGGACCAAAAAACAAAGTTGTTGTCCTTTGGCTGTCCATCTCCCCAAAATAGATGAGCACCCCTGTTTCACCTCATTAACTATTGTAAAATTATGCAAGTATTTTACTTTGAAAATTGATGTGCTTTAAAAATCATAAACAAATAACACAAAAGAAAGCCCATGATTTTTTAAACCGAAAGTGAATTTCATTATGCAGCTGGTGTAGTGGATTTATGATTTCATATATCAGTGCAGTCTTTTTTAAGATTATAAATGTTTTATCAGTAGACTTTTTAAAATTTCAATATTGTAAAAGATGGAAAGATTCCTGGCATTTATATACTGGAATGAGATAACAGAATATTAGCATCCTTAATATAATTAAATGTAATGGATTACAGTAATGACATTAAGCAAACTTAAAAGAAAATCCACTTGTGTTATCAGAAATTCCTAAAAATCTCAAATTTAGCACAAAGTAGCAAGCAGATTTTAAGTGACATTGTTTTGAATAATAAATGGCTTATTCTACTTAATGAAATTTTAGAAAAGTCATGAAAAGAACCAACATTACTAAATTTTGTGAAACCATTAGACTGTAATTAACATTAAGTAGATTAATCACAGTGTTCAAAGTCTTATCATGGCTTAGACTTGTTATACCAGTCCGGGATTGACTGGTAATTTCCTTGAGGCCATAAGACTATATTCTAAAAAAATCTTATTTTTCTGTGAATCTATGAAACACATTGCACTTTTAATATGGCAAAGTCTATTGGAAATAAATATTATACGTACATAACCTAAAATTGGGGGGCTGAAAAATTATGTACTGCATACAAGTAGAAAAATAAATGATAAATATATGCAAATGAATTATGACAGCTAAATACGTGTTTCTAATAAATAATCTTTTTGAAATTATTATTTCGTAATGTATGTAAAATATTACATTACACTCAAATAATTATATAAGTGGTGACTTCTTAAAGTTTGCTACTCAATTCTCTAATGTAATGAAAATAAATTTATTGAGGTTTAGAGATATAGTTTAAATTTTTAAAAAATAGCCGTTTAGGTGCCGAACGTTTGCTATATAATGAATCATATACCTGAATTACTTGGCCAGTGCAGTGGATACTTAGGTGATAGAGGGTAATGTGTCAATATATTGGGCAGGTGTGGGTTAAAAGTTTAAACCACGATGCTAGTGGGGTCAACAGCGCCGAATTAACCAGCATGTTAAATCTGTACATTAAATCTGCCAACGCGTCATGGATCATCTTTTCTGTTCACAATTTAGGATTAAAAAGTACTAACGATGTCAGAGAGTATAAAAAAAAACAAAAAAACAGCACTATATTGATGGCAAACAAAAATGAAGCCCTTCATGAAATTTAAAAAAAATGAATGTTAAAAAATGTTCTGCTGCAACAAACTACAGAATCGTGCAGCATCAAAAAGTAATATTTCATTGTGATTAATTGAAGTATCAGTAACCCTAAATGAGGATAATCTATTTTGATAAGATCACTGCATTCACTTTTTACTGTTAGTTGTTAGGCTCAATACTTATATGAATTCTATACATATTCTACCCAAAAGGAAATAAAATCAATGTTTGGCTACAGCCTGTGTAGATGCATGCAAAAAAAGAATGATACTGAGTCTTGTATTTAAATCATCATGAGTGTTTGTGGGGTTCTTCCATGGCTTGACTAGCTTTCCTCACATCCTTGTTGTATTTCTCCAAAAGCACCTACCAAAAGAAACAAAATGAAATTGTACAAACAATTTACAAACAATAAATACAGTATTATTTACTTTGCACTGAAATTGTAATATTAATGTTGATCAATTTGATTTTTAAAAATTTTAGATTAAAGCTGCACAAGAAATAAATATTTGTAGACACCAACCTAAAATAGTATGAGTAACTAGACAAAGCTGTCACTCCCCTCTTTAAGCTAAATTGCTGATATGTGAAATACTGATAACTTAGTTACAAACATGGACACAAAAAAAGGCCATAATACACACAATTATCTAATGCCATAATACACATATTCATCTAGTGCCATAATACCCACATTTATCAAATGCCATTAATACACACATTTATCAAATGCCATAATATACATATTTATCAAATGCTATAGTAGTTAATAATACAGACCTGTTTACCCTTAATCTCTTAAATCGTACAATATCATCACAAAACCATTTAATACATTATCTTAATAGTAAAAAAATAAACATACAGTGTATATAATTATACATCTCTAAATCGTACATTGTACGCCAAAATCGTAAGAGTAAACAGGTCTGATAATACACATTTATTTAACTTTAATCTAAACTCTCTAATATATTGACCCATTGAATACACTGCATTCTATTTTAAGGTCACAGCAGCTTAAAATGCACACACAAATACTGCTTAAAACTAATATTGTGAGCAGTCTAAGTCTGTGGTTTAAAATAAAAGTGAGAGAGAAGCATGCAACATATTGTGCTAATTCAGTTTCAACGGCTAGGAAGCTAAACAGAGCACACACTTCTGAATAGTTGTTGATGTCATATCAAGCTATTGAAGTCTTGAGAGCTAAGTAAAAAAGTTGCACACTATGTGGTTTCTGTTGTATCATGTGTTTACACTTATGACCTCACAGTGAGAAAAGAAAAAAACAACCTACAACAAATGTGGGCTAAAATGACTACCGGGTATTGTATGATAGCTGAGAGTCATGGGCAAACCTAATTTATTTGGTACACATTTATTGAGAGTCATGGGCAAACCTAATTTATTTGGTACACATTTATTGAGAGTCTTGGGCAAACCTAATTTATTTGGCACACATTTATTGAGAGTCTTGGGCAAACCTAATTTATTTGGTACACATTTATTGAGAGTCTTGGGCAAACCTAATTTATTTGGCACACATTTATTGAGAGTCTTGGGCAAACCTAATTTATTTGGCACACATTTATTGAGAGTCTTGGGCAAACCTAATTTATTTGGTACACATTTATTGAGAGTCTTGGGCAAACCTAATTTATTTGGTACACATTTATTGAGAGTCTTGGGCTAACCTAATTTATTTGGCACACATTTATTGAGAGTCTTGGGCAAACCTAATTTATTTGGCACACATTTATTGAGAGTCTTGGGCTAACCTAATTTGGCACACATTTATTGAGAGTCTTGGGCAAACCTAATTTGGCACACATTTATTGAGTCTTGGGCAAACCTAATTTATTTGGCACACATTTATTGAGAGTCTTGGGCAAACCTAATTTATTTGGTACACATTTATTGAGAGTCTTGGGCAAACCTAATTTATTTGGCACACATTTATTGAGAGTCTTGGGCTAACCTAATTTATTTGGCACACATTTATTGAGAGTCTTGGGCTAACCTAATTTATTTGGCACACATTTATTGAGAGTCTTGGGCTAACCTAATTTATTTGGCACACATTTATTGAGAGTCTTGGGCAAACCTAATTTGGCACACATTTATTGAGAGTCTTGGGCTAACCTAATTTATTTGGTACACATTTATTGAGAGTCTTGGGCCAACCTAATTTGGCACACATTTATTGAGAGTCTTGGGCTAACCTAATTTATTTGGTACACATTTATTGAGAGTCTTGGGCTAACCTAATTTGGCACACATTTATTGAGAGTCTTGGGCTAACCTAATTTATTTGGTACACATTTATTGAGAGTCTTGGGCAAACCTAATTTGGCACACATTTATTGAGAGTCTTGGGCTAACCTAATTTATTTGGTACACATTTATTGAGAGTCTTGGGCCAACCTAATTTGGCACACATTTATTGAGAGTCTTGGGCTAACCTAATTTATTTGGCACACATTTATTGAGAGTCTTGGGCTAACCTAATTTGGCACACATTTATTGAGAGTGTTCTCGATCCGAAAAAGCTGCCCAACCATTAATTGGCATAATGGCTGATTACCAAGGATCTGCCGGTTGCAACTCTAATTAACATGTATACTTTAAACTAGCAGTACAAACCTTTTTATATAAAACTTGATCATTCCATAAATCTGCAGCATTTGTATTTAGAGGACTGTCGATATTGGGTTCTGAAATTTTAAATTAACATGTTTGTACTGAATGATGGGAAGAAAAAGATAGCTTAAAAGTATAGCTTAATATGCAAAGTTCTGTACATTCACTTTGTGTAATTTGTAAAGGTGTTAACTTTTTATTAAAATTTTATTTAAAAAAAAATAGTAATTTCCCTCGTCAGTGTTTGTCAATAGTGAATAGATAACTCACAATCACAAACATTATGTTGTTTTTTTGCAAATAATTGTGTTCATATGAGGATTAATGGGAAAATGTGAGTACAAATACTACAATAATAAATCTGCATTCATTTTCCTTTATTTTGATTTTTATTTCACACAAATTTGTTGACTAACACCTTAGATTTGATTTTTTTTTGTAACGTAACCCCAAATCTTACTAAAAAAAACCCTGAAAAGTGGTGTCCGTTCAGGACATGCAAGAGGAAGTACCTCTGCCCCGTAAAGGGTTAACATTAATTAATTAAAATCAAACAAAAAAAATCACCAAAGGTATTACTAAATATGGAATACACCATGCCCTCATACCTCCAAGTAAACTTTGTATAGACAGCAATACCGTACGAACATCATACAAGGCAGACCACTTTTCTTTTAGAATATCAAGACAAATGTTGCCATGTGTGTCTACATTCGGGTGGTAGCATGGTGTTTCAAATTTGACCTTGACAGCTTCAATGGGATATTGTGGGGGAAATGTCAACAGCAGTTTGTAGGAGAGACCCTCATAAACCTGTAATGACACATATAAATGTAACAAGATAAACAATACAGAAATTGTTATGTGTGGCTGATTAATAGAAACATGAATAGTACATTAGGTTTCATAGTTTAATAAAACTCATAGGACCAATGCAAGACACTTAAAATGGGCAATATACATAATATTAAATAATGAAGAATATACATTTTAAAAATAGTCTAGAATTACCGTTCCTTTGCCTCCTTCAATTGTACCAACCCATTTGAACATATTGTCTCCTTCTGGAAAAGCTGATATGCCAGGACTTCCCGAGATCTGTTTAAGATATCAAATAATGAATTAAAAAATAAATTTCCAAATATTTTTGTTTGAATATTTTAACAATTATTTAATAATCCAAAAACAGAATATTTTTTTAATTTTAAAAAAAAAAAAACCTTACTGAAATTCTTACCATTAAAGTTCTGAGTTCTTTCTGTAATCTGAAAGGAAACAATAACAATGAATATGAAAAAAAAATTAGGCCAGAATTAAAGTAAAGCAATAGTCTAGGCCTAAATGCGCTTAATATTAATTATTACTTACTGGAACAAACACTAAATTGTCCACTCAAATTATAGGCTATTTGGTTCTGTCAAATCAGTGCAGATAGTAGGCATAAACTGAGTGAAAAGGGTATAATTATAATTCTTAAATAATTTATTTTAAACTGAGGGCTCAAACATTTGTAGCTGTATCACGCATTGTGGAAACCAAGGGCTATGTTCATACCAAATAAGGTTTAGGCCCATGTGAGGAATGAAGAAATGCGCTCAACACATTTATGCTTAAACTTAAACCGGCCTAATAATAATGTGAAGTGACTGGGTGGGGCGAGATGAACCATAGGAAAATTGGGGGTTCTGAGCTTTGGATTTTTTATCGTGGCATTGCACATGAGCAATAAATTTGACAATACCTGCTACTGTCATTAGCTTACTACTTAATCTAAAAAAAATATTGACATATCCGTGTTGAATTTATTTTCCTTCAAGTTTCAAGCAAGTAAGAAAGATTTTTTTTTAAATCACAAAAGTTGAGATATCTCTCCCCCCACCCTTTCTCTTTTTTTTTTCAGCTTAAAAAATTGTGTTGATTGTCTCATTTTACACTGACAACTTAAAAGTTTTACAGAAATGCCATTTTAGTCAAATTTTTACTGCTCTCCTTAAATTAACGGACAGTTGGAAACCTAAACTTAATCATAGTACTTATTTAATGCTTGTGTCGCGCAACACAGTTGACACTTCCTGTTTCCAGAGTTTTGCAGACAACACGCCAATGTCAATAGATTACTACTTTAGAATAGTTTATTGTTATTTTTTATCTTATAATTGTGTTGAATAAAAATAAAACATACCAATATTTTTACATATCTTAAAACAAAACAAAACCATCAGTTGACAAGCATGACAGAAGCAATTTTTATTTTATCTTGTACCGGTAATAAAGAATACCTGTAGGGAGTAGGCCCTATTAATATTATGTTAGTAAAAATAAAAACAGAGTAGGGTCACAAAATGAGGCAGCAGTCCATAATAGTGTAGTAGTATACTACCAGTTCAGTCATTGACTATGACCGATCATTAAAAAGATAAACGAACGCACATTTTCATTTTGGTAACCCTCTGCCTCTTGAGACAGAGCCTTTTTTGGACTGTCTGTGCCAAAAAAGATGGAGCCCTTTTCACAAGCTCTGCACTTACTTTACAAAAACATTTATCAAAAATAAACTAATTACTTTACAAATATAAAACTATATATATATAATATTCTTGTAGAGAATTGAATAAACTAATACAACCTTTATGAATCAAACTGAAATCTCCAAATTTATGCAAATTAGATCCCATGATTAGCATAATTTTTTTTACATTTAGAATTATTTTTTTTTTACTTACTTGCTTGCAGAATTTGTTACATTTTTTTTTTATTGTTGAAGCCTAAATGAGTCCTATTCTAATCCTAGCCTAAACCCATATGTTATTATTTATTTGAATGAGATTTAATGTGAATAAATTCATAAAATATTCCCTTGGCCCTGATCATGATTTTTTGGTATATTTCAAGGTCACATATTTTTATAGGACGAGATGCTTTCTAATTAGCTGGTGCGAAAACCAGCCAGCCATTCTCAAGGCTTTTATTCTTCAGCCGATAGATCTCCTTTTCGTCTTTTTTCTTTTTCGAGATAACACTCAGGGCCAAGTCGCCTCCAGTGGGTTACCACAGTTAAAGCTAGTGTATAATTTTTATTTTTCTCAGAATGACTAGACTAAAGCTATAGGTTTATCCTAAAGGCTAAAGGTGCCTTTGACTTTGAACCATGTGAGGAAAGAAGCCTTGCCCTCTCGCCTCAAATGGCCGCTATCTTAATCTACCAATCTGTAAACATATAGGTAAAATTTACAGCATCATGAGTGTGTCCACAACGACTACACTAACACTACTTGTCTACACCAATGTTCCCTTTAAGCTGCGCAGCAGTTTTGAGTATCCGCGCAGATTAATTTCCATGTGTGTGTTTGTGGGCTGTTAAATTTTGCACACAAAAAAATTGATGCTGTACAACTTTGCACACAACTGTATCATTTTGCACACAACTATCATTTTGCACAGGAATCAGCAAAACTTAGTGGGAACATTGTTGTACACTCTACTTTGTTCAGTTACCCAGTATCAGTAGGGAAATAAAACAAATATCACTCACATACTTCTGAGTGGTTCCAATAAATTATTAGACCTTAATTTAGGGATAGACTAAAAAACGGACTGGACTGAATTTAGTTTTTTTAGACATACTGAAACTCGGGGGACTCGCTTGACTTGTGACTTGTGAATTGTCAGTTCAGTTGAAGAAGTCTGAGTTCAGTAGTCTGACAAAATCATTATTACTTTGATTTAACAGCCTTCAATCATGTTTGGCGTTGTTTACAAAATCAGTCAATTCTTTTAAAAGACATTCTTACCTTCTAGTAACATTGCTTGCATTAGGCTTTGTTTCTACAGACGACTGGGACATTTTGTTTATTAACTCGTTCTTAGTGGTTTCGAATGAAAGAAAAAAACCATTCGTAAATTTCATATAACCAATCGAATTATACTTCCGGTATGAAAGGTGATAATTACAAAAATGTGACAACATTTCTATGGATTATCATATTTTCGCCTTTTAAAATTTAATATTACAAAAGAAAGAAAAAAAAAAAAAAAAAAAAAAAAAATACGTAAAAAAATAAAAAAAAAAAAAAAAAAAACAATTTTTATAATTAAAAAAAAAAATAAAATTAAATATAAAAAAAAAAAAAAAAAAAAAAAAAAAAAGAAACAAAAATACGTAAAAAAATAAAAAATAAATAAAGATACATCCTTTTTATATTTAAAAAAAGACATTTATAATGTAATCCTTTGTAGCAGTCTGCGTAGTGGGGGTTTCCACAGTGGATAGAGGCAAGTATTGAGTCTCCCCTCCTAGGGAAACATTCCGGCCCTAGGGTTAAGGGGGTGAAGGGGCCATCCATGAAGATAATGATGTCACGCCACCTTAGACGGGCATGGGGAAAAAGTGGATGGGGAGGGGGGATCACCAATGGCGGCCTTTTTGGGTGTGCGACCTGTGCCCTCGCACGGTGCGCCGTGGCCATAGGGGCGCCTTGGCCTGGGGCGCCCAGTAAATATTTAAATTCCTTTATTTTATTCTAATGACAACTTGAGTTGTCTACTGTGCTCTGTTTTTTGTTATATTTTCATTTTTACTGTTGGCTGAGGAAGGCTTTATGCCGAAACGTCCTTGTTTTTTTTTTGTCATGTTATCTTATTCAAGCTTTCACATTCCTCGTTTTGCTATTTCATTCCTTTGACAAAAACGCGTTCAAAGGGGCAGATAATGGACGACTCCAAAATATGGGGTGCTACTTTTCCGGATTATCCTGGAATTCCAGATTCGTGCGGCTAAATATTTTTTCGCTCCGGATTCCCGAGTTTTTATTTTCTCTCGTTCCGTATACGCCAGTTCAGTTTATTCAAATATGGATTCTGGTTAAAAAAAAAAAGCAACCTGTAAGGACGCGTGAAAGCCTTTAAGTATTAAGTGACAAGCGGCTTCACTATAAATAGAACAAGTACTGTAATCCCTCTCTTTTGTTTGCAAGCCTCTCGCTCCCCGCTTCTTGCTGTGTCAAGTTAATTGCGCGGATAACGATATTGTATTTTAATTTTAATAAATACAGTTTGAAGTAGGCACGTTTCTGTTGTGTATAATTGTAGCCTATATAATTTTCAAAAGCCAGCGATTGGTCATGTGGATCGAGATAACCGAGGTTAAATGGCAAATTGGGCCGCCTTTTGTGCTCGAGATATCATGGTTCAGCGACATAAAAGAATCGACATAACCGATGAGAAAGTGCTAAGACAAAGAGAGAATTTGGCGATTCCACTTTTAAAAATCGACATAACAGGGTTGGCGAGTTAACCGAGGTCGAGATAAGCGGGTTTGACTGTATTTCAATGAAAGTCGTCAGAAATAAACGTAAAGAATTTAGCACTACATGATATGCCTAATAGGACTCTCTTACATGATTACCAATTAAATAACATTATATGACATATTTTAAGGTCAATAAAAAAGAAAATAATTCAACAATCTGGCTCCTGTCCCTGGTGCAGTGGTAAACTTGTTCACTGGTCAGAAATACTTAAACCTTTGGGAACCACTCTGGACCTGGACCGTGCAGAGAATTTTTTTGGGACCCAAGAGAATCCAAAGTTTGGTTCACGGCAAATTTAAAAAAAAAAATGTTTGCATCAAACGTTTTTATGAATTTCAGGAAACTGATCCTTTACTGAAACACTGGAACAGCATTTTTCTCATCGTATTTAATTTTTTTTTTTAAATTACCACGAATCAAACATTTTGTGAACTTAAGACAAAAGATACTTCATTAAAACACAAAAAAGCAGCACTCTTCTTAACCGTTCTTTAAATTCATCTGTAATATTTGAAAAAATGTAAGCTTCTGCCCCCCCCCCCCCCCCCCCCCCCCCCCCC